AAAGCAAAATTGTAGATCCAGTCTCCTCACAAAATTCCTCCAGGCTAAGAATTCTATTGCAGGGCTCTTTACACCTTTTGAATCAGAACTAACGTATTAAGGCACTTTTAAAATAGAAGAATTAAGATCCAAACACGTAGCACATGCTGGCCAATTTCCTATGTGAACAACTCCCAGTTCAAAAGGACCTTGTACCTGGAACTCCAGTCCACTGGACACTCCCTGGCAAAGTTCAGCAAAACCACTCCATTTTCCATACGTAACTGAGGTATTTCAGTGGGTGAGCTGTCTAACAGCCTGGGATAAAATGACAATACTTTTTTTCCTACCTATCTCCCTCCTTTTCCTCCCCCCCCCGAAAAAGCTCAGAAGTACTGTGAGAAATGCCTTGTGCTATTGTGCAGTGCCTTTGCTAGATTATGTTTCTAGAGGTTATCAGAGCAACAAAATGCAAGATCCTGGCAATAGCCCAGGCTTTCTGATGCTTGTCCTAAGCTGCACGATTGTACTTTCAGCTACTGGTTTAAAAAAAAACAAAAGGAAAGTTTGTGTTTATTTGACAGAAGTTCAGTGTCTCTGTAAATGCAGCTCATTGCAATTCTTTGTTTTAGGGCCGAGAGCAGAAAAACACAACACAAGTAAAATAGGGCAGCTTTCCCTTAAGGTTTGCTTGTTCACAAAGGTGAAATTCGCCCGATGAGACTTTGTGCTACTGTCTCTGACCTCTATATCCCTCTTAAATAACTAACAAAAGAGGTGGAATTGTTTGGTCCTGAAGTAAAACAGGCTTGCTTTGCTATAATGTAGTAGAAGCCACATATCTTGGTTTTAAAAAATAGCCTGTTTTAACCTCCCTGCCCCAAGATAAGAAAAAGAGCCTCCCCCTCAGTTTCAAAATAATTGGCAATTTGCAAATGCTTTCTTAGAGCATTTGCTGAACAGAAGTATTGAGGGTTGGGGCGAAGTTGCTTTAGATTGAAATGCAGATTTCAGTTTCTAAATCAAATGTTTGTTTCCCTCATGGAATAGTTTGTGCTTCATGTCAAAGAATGACATTTGTAGGCACTCAGAAATGTAGCTTTTGGTTACCTTGCCTTTCTGATCAGCTGGGATATGGTGAAGGCTGACAGGTTACCCTTCCCACACCCATTTCCAGAGAAGTCCAGGGGTTTGGGTCATCACGTAGGACAGCAAGACTGGTTTTGGCTTCCCTCTCTGCATGAGAGTATTCCCGAACCACAACTGAACCATGGAACTCAGGCAAGTCAGATGAAATGTTTCCACTTTACTCAACCTTATGATGACCAGTTCCAGCTGAGGTTAGTAGCTCCTTTGCTTCACAGTGTGGAGCATGGGAAGGTCTGAGCAATCCTACCTGGGTTTGAAGGCATAGCGCTGAGAGGCAGGAATCCGAATACTCACACTGCATCATTCCTTTGAAGTCACTCCTTCTTTGACTTCAGTTGTGGTAAAGATTTATATCAGCTGATCTTTAGAGCAAAAAATAGAACTGTTTTTATGTGCCCTTGGACATGCATGTTGGAACCCTTATCTGGGTTTTGGATCATCCACTTTATAAACAGTTGCGTTCTTTCCCTTGAGTTTTACATTGTTACCTACTTGATGGGCTGTTGGAACCTGGTAGAAGCTGAAATTTTTGGGAGAGACAGGAGGAAGTAGATGCTAATTTTTGGTACTTGAATTAACTTCTGAGTTAGACTTTCTGGAAGATCTCACAGGGAGAGCTATGTAAATTTTAGGTGTTATGGAAACGACAGCTACTACTGTTCTCTCTCGGCACATCAGATCCTGATTTGCTGTTTGGATTATCTAATCACTGTCAGCCCAAGTGTTTGGTGTGGAAGTAATTACAGCAGTACTTTCAACTAATTCCTATTCATGGTGTAGTAGTGAAAATGTGGATTTGAGGGGTAAGTGAGCTAAGTATTCATGATGGGCTGGTTCATGTTGCTGCTGTCAAAATAGCTGTATCAATGTAAACAGTTCCCATACCTTCTTCAAGCTGAAGAAACACTGACAAGTTTCAGGCACATACTAGATCGTGATGACATCAAAGACCTAATTACTTGCTCTGTATTGTAGCTCATAACAGGGTCTATGATTAGCTCTCTGTCTTAGGCGCATCATCTGTGCATTGAGTGTGTTGAAGGGCTTTCAGTGCTCCTAGGCAAATGCCGCCAAATTGGTTATTCATAGAATCATAGGATAGTTTGGGTTGGAGGAGACATTTAAAGGTCACCTAGTTCAATGCCCTTTTTTACTGCTGTATTGCTAGTGGTTTCGGGTACCATGTAGTTCTTGCTCAGTTAAGACGGTGTTGAATGTTCACCTGTGAGAGATACGTGTCATGGGAGCATAGAAATGGGACTGTGTTACTAATAGGTGTTCCTGATGGCTCAATTTTCTCATTTTTGAAAGTGCTAAGCAGGTTTCAAGTGAGGGCATATATCTTCCTTTTGAATTTGTTTATGTAAGCTCAGCAGAGAGGAGTTAACCATCATAACCATAATAACCATTGACATTGGTGGGATTTTGAACAGTATATTTAGGCAAAAAATTTGTTGTTGTGTCTTATCAAACAACATACTTTATTCTACTTTAAACTACTATTGTGGTAGAATACCTCTGCCTAGAGATTGCCTAACAGGACAGAGCTGACTAGCTCATCCAGGAGGAGAAAGTTCAGAGGAGGGACCTTCATGACTTTCCTCCAGTTTTGTAGAGTTAGCATCATGAATGCCATTTGTTCTTTATAGGTATAGTATACATGGGTCATGATGCTGATGTCCTCAGGCACTGATATAATGTATTCTAACCCTGGGATTCTTTTGTTAGAGAATTGTTCTAATATGGGATCAGAACCAAAATTGAAAGACCAGTATATATGTTGTAGGCTGATTTGGCTTTTGCATGCTTGGAGGTACTTATAGTCTTGGTCCCTCTCCCCCAGCTTTGCCCTGATTCTGATCTAAATCCAAGAATTTGTCTTGTATTAGTCATTGTTGAGCTGTAGTAATAAATTCCCGTAGCACTAACTTGAAGCCATCTACCATGCTTGACTGGAGTTGATTGTTAATAGTACTTAAGCTCCTGGTGGCATTTGGGAAGGCAATAACCATACTGGATCTGTGCCCAGATGGAGGCAGAGCAAAACTTTAGCTGCTTATTTGTATTAAGATGTTGTTTTCTTGTCTTCCGCTAATTCCGTGTGCTGCTGAGCTCACTATTGCAGCTACAGCTTTGGGGCGCTAGCTGACTCAGAGAGGTGCTTCTGAGTGCAGATGAACAGGACATCATTATAGTTGTCTTTGTGTGTGTTGTACAATGGCAAATGCATTACTAAAGGATTTTATTCTCTTCTATGGGCTTGTAGCTGCTGAAGTTAAAGCTAGAGGTTTTTGAAAAGCAAAAGGGCTGAATACTCAGACTTTTGACAATCTCTTTTGGGTGGGGTTTTGGAGAGATTCTATCAGGTGTGATGACGTTATCTGCTTGGGCTGAGCAAACAAGATTCTCAGAAGGTTAATGTAGAAAGTCTCTTCCAATAGAAGCAGGTGCATATCTAAACGGCTTTTTGGGTGGTAAGCTGTCATTTGGGTCAGCGTCTAGTAATTTTTAAACAATTCAATTCAAACCCTTGCATTAAACAGAACAGGTTGAGAGGCCAATAAGCTGGCAAATTGGAAGAAAATCTTGATAGGTTCAGCTGGTGCCTGGCATCAGAGCAGCCTGTCCATATGCTAAGTGCTTCTGCAGCCAAGTGGGCCAGGAGTGTGAGTGTCCACATGTGAGACGGAATAATAAAGGTGGGAGGAGTAATGTGCTTCTTTCAAGAGCTTTATAGGAACAGCTAAAAGCTGGCAAAAGAAACACAGCTGGTCAACTAACAAACGTTTGTGGGTACAGAAATAAGGTTACTTTTCATGGACATAATTGTTTCATGCTGAATGCATTGGTCAGAAGCCCATCAAGGGTTCAAAGGATGTAGTTGCCTTGTCTGCTGGATACCTGTTGGGTGCTGGCTTAGCTGGAGGTGGTGAGATGTTTTGATGGGTCACTGATCACTCCAGTGAATTTGTGCTGCCAGAGCTGTGAACTACTTAATAATGGCTGGTCAGATTGTTTTTCCTTGAAATCACACTAATTTTAGTGGCAGTTTTGTTTTATTTCTAACTTGTTACTTTGGAATTACTAATTAGATGGAGGCTATGAACAGTTGGCAAGGCTTATAACTCTTTCCTTCTATACTGACAATATGTTATCTGAACTGAGAGCTGTGGTTTGAATGTAAGAGGATGGTAGAAAGTGCACCACAGTTAAAGAATAGGTGGGAAGATTCTGAGAAATGGTGGCAGAAGTTGCTTAATGCTGTAGATGTAAAGAAGGTTTTTTATCTACTGTGCACAGAGTCTGCCACAAGTGACTTGAATTTAAATTCAACTGGACTTTGAAAGCAAAATGCTAGTTGTCAGAATGGTCCTGGGTTCTACAGTTAAATGATCTTTCTTGCTACCCAGTAATTCAGTTCTTTCTCCCTTATGTGTATCCTCGTTTATCCTTACATAGATTATCTCTCATACTTGTGTGATGGAAGATCTATTCCTACCTCTCTGCTCAAGCTTTCTTCGTGTCCATCTGAAACATGCAAGACTGGAACCTATAATAAATCCATGTGGAAAAGTCTGTCACTTATTTTTACAAAGCTGTTCCTAGAAAGCCTTGCATTTGCAAGCATAATTACAGTTCTTTCTTCCTAGCACCTTTCATGCATTCATGTACTGTCTTTAGAATTTAGATTGTGTCGTAATTCAAAAGAAATAATAAGTATCCATTAGCTTGATTTTACGTTTTGCCTAAGCTACCGAGAGTCACTAATTGTAGCGCCAGTGCAACAGCTCATTTATGAGTTTAACATCTATGTGAATATTAGTGATATTCAAGTCATTGGAGACGCCAAGTTTACTCTCTTGTGTTTCTAGATTTACCAGAGATGCTGGTTAGTGTTCAAAAAAGCTTCAAGCAAAGGGCCAAAGCGGCTGGAGAAATTCTCAGATGAACGAGCTGCTTACTTTAGATGCTATCACAAGGTAAGACACAAGGTTGTTTCTTTTCGCAATTTTGTTTTGTAATGTACAATCAAGAGTAAAATCTGAAGTTGACGTGTATTAATTTGCCTGAAACCTGGAATATTTTTACTATCAAGGTTCTAAACCCACTTTTATGTTCCTTCATTCAGTGGAGGCAAAGTGTTCTGTTTTCTGTTTTGTAGCAAACATCTTGGTAAGCTGATGGAAAATGACTTTATTTTAAAAGAAGATGTCCTTCTTCTCAGCCCTTTAAAATCAGGTCTGAAATACTTGCAGTGACTCCTATTCTTCATAATTAGAGTAAAAATCACCCAAAATAACATGTGAATTCAAAAAGCTGGGTATGTAGAGGTTCCCATTTGACTAGGATATTGCATCTGTGGGAAGACAGTAGACAGCTACAGAGGTGAAGGCCAACATGCAAATTTTTCTTGCAATGATGGTGTGAAAACCTTTGCTAAATTCACAAGTATTAAAAGATTGAAGTTTTCCCCTCTAATCACTTCTCTGGAGTTATGTGCACATTTCGTATTCATCTGAGAATTTACATGTGTAATTCTTGTGGGCATGGAGGTGAAAATAAGAAACCTTTTAACTCGGAATCATTGTTGGCAGAAGCTTAATATATTAGAAGATTAGGAACTATGTGCTTAATTCCTAGGAGTCAGTGAGCAGAGCTCAGCTTGAGGCTGATCCACGCTTACTCACTTTGACATACATTTAGGAGGAAATCTTGAGGGAATACCAAATGTGAATTCAGACTTGTCTGTTTGCATGCCATGTAATTTGTAATGGATTGGTCATAAAACCTGTGGCTATTTGTAGTAAGTCATGCCCAGAAATAGTTCATTCAGATTTACAGTGAATAACTTTCAAAAGTAATGAGAGATGTATTTTTTTCATCTGATGTGTGTGAGGGTGTGTATAAGACAATTTCCATCTTTGTGTGAAATGCTGCATTTATAGTAGTATGGCTCTGTCAATTATTGATGCAAATCTGTATTTCTTCCATTGTATTAATGCAATGTATTAGCAGCACACAGTGTCTTGAAGTTCACATTAGGTAATGAATATGAAATCCAAGAGCAAACTAATGAGGCTGGACTTTTTCTCTTCTTTCAAGAAGTTCTGCGGATTAGCATTTATTTATCACATATGTAACCCAACAGCCGTTTCCTACCTGTGTCCTGTTCAGCTGTAATAGTTATTTTTCTCTTTCTTAGTAGCTGGTGCAGTGCTGTGTTTTCGACTTCAGTCTGGGAACAACGCTGATAACACGGATGGTTTTAGTTGTTGCTCAGTAATGTTTACTCTGACCAAGGACTTTCTCAGTCGCATGCTCTGCCAGTGAGTGGGGGCACAGGAAGCTGGGAAGGCGCAGAGACAAACTAGCCAAAGGGCTATTCCATACCACAGCACGTCATGCCCAGTATAGAAACTGGGGGGAGTCACCCGGAAGGCCCAGATCGCTGCTTGGGTCGGGCTGGGTATCGGTCGGCGGGTGGTGACCAATTGTATTGTGCATCACTTGTGTTTATTGTTATTCTTTTCCTTTTCCCCTTTTAGTTTTATAATCTCTCCCCTTATTATTTCCCTTATTATTACTGGTGGTGGTAGTAGTAGTGGTTTTGTATTATACCTTAGTTACTGGACTGTTCTTATCTCAACCCATGGGATTTACATTCAGTCTCTTCCCCATCCCTCTGGGAGCAGGGGGGCAGAAGGAGGGGAGTGAGTGAGTGGTTGCTTGGTTCTGAATTACTGGCTGGGCTTAAACCATGAGGCTCTGGGTCTGCAGACTAATGCACCATAGAAAGCCTTGTTACCTTGGAGGGATTTTCAGTTATAAGTCAAGCTTAGTCTATAGTTAACAGTTAATTTTAAGCTATTGCTTCTTCTATAAATTTAGTTTCTGGATTTCTCTGGTAGCTTATGTGACAGGAATAAACAATGATCAAACTCCCGTATCAGTTAATGGGAATTAACTGTTTAGTAGCTGCAAATTTATGCTTTCTGCTTTTGAAAGCTGTAACTGTATGTAATCAGAGCTGTAATATTAATAAAGGCATTAAAGCAAATCCTAGTTTTGACTGGGGTTTGAGAAATATCATAGCAGTAAGACATCTTGCACACATATTTTATGTGGTTGTTATCAGACCTTGGCCAAATCTAAGGGTTCTTTCAAGCAAGATGACGGCCTAAATCCTCATGTCTTGAGGGGAAGAAATTTTTACCTTTTGGAGGAGTAAACCAGATTTAAATGCATTGTGTCCTCCTGAAAGCACTGGAGTGAACTGAAAGATTATTATTTCCTAAGTTTCCTTTGGTGAGGGGAGGGGGGTGAGAGCAGATGAGGTGCCTTAGGGTCTGAGTCTTATGAGTCTTAAGTGGAATATACCTGAGATGATCCATCTGAGCTTCTATTGCTTTTTGGTGTCTTGGACCTGTTGAGCTAGACTGCCAGCTCCAATCAGCCTGAGCCCTTCCCCTAGACTTCCGCCTGCTTCAGGTCCCTGGAATGTAGACCCAAATTATGGGATACAACATGGAGGTTTCTGCCAGGAAACCTGCAGTCCTGTTAAAATGGACATCTCCCTTCCCAGCATGGGAACTGGATGCTGTGGATGCACTTGCTGAGAGCCACTGGGGTGCAGACAGGCTGGATGGCCTCGTGAGAGCTGCCCTGGAAGACTGCCATCAGCCTTTGTTCTCCACATTTATCACTCCTCTTTGCCGCTCTGTAAAGAAGCAGTGCTAACCAAGTACAGTGTGATTGCCCAGGACAGTGGGTTCTCACACAGTGCTGCTGTTTGACAATGGGGCTCTGCAGTATCCCTGTTTTTTCCCTGTGATGGTAAATGAGGCTGTCCTCTAGTTGTAGTCATCAGCTATACAGGCTGACGGATCCTGTTCATTTTTAATGAACCTTGCTGAAATGAAAGCTAATGAATATTAAATAGCATTTTCTGGCTAAAATGCGTTAACTTACAAAGAGCACAGGTGGAAAAAACAGAGTTCCTTTTTTTAGTAGGCTTTGTAAATGTGTGAAATTTTAAGGTGGTGAATGATGCAGCTTCTAACAGTATTAAATATGAGGTGCTGAAAAAGAACATGTCTCTGCTGCTCTATGCAGCTCTGTAGTTGAACTGGTTCTTATAAAAAGCATAGTTAATTATTAATAAACCCCAACAAACAACTTGATATGGCAACCTTCAACTAAGTCTACTTGTCACCTTGTTTGATATATAATATTAATGGGACTTTGGTGCTCAAGACATCATCCAAAGGTCTAGGATAGTCATTGCTGTTGTCTTGATATGCAACAGCATCAGCAGCTGTTCTAATAACAGCTTGATGGTGTGTGGAGGCTTTTCTGTGAGCATTCCAATTCTGTCACTCCTGGACAGAAGGCTGCGTCTCGCTGCTGCCGACAATAAAGTTAATCCTACAAATGAGAAGCCCAGCCAGTCCTGTTAATATGTCAAATGTCACTGTGTCATAAGCCTGTGCTAATGAATCTAAAGGTGAATGCAGTTCAGTCTGACAGATGATACTGTTAGAGGAAAACCTCACTTACAGGTTACCAGTGTTTCAGAAACACGGTTGTTAACTACCTGCATCATTCTGAGGTGGTTCTCAAACACTGTTGAAAGCAGCATCAAATCCAGAAAACTGAGGAGCCCCCACTCATCCCATCAGTCTCAGGAAGGGTTGACTTCATGGTAAAACTTAGAAAAATTAAGATGAATGGAGCTAATTTTGCAATAGCACCTGCCTCCTGCACTGAAGTGTTGAATTGTTTCATTTTGTTGCGTTTTTTCTTTCTGTGATGAATTACAGTGCAAATGTTACTTCAATTTATTAGTGGAAAAGGGCTGTCCAGAGCATCTGTTCTGCTGGCACTGCAGTGGTACCAGTTACTGGAGCTGAGCTGCTGTGGTCTGGGACTGTGCATCATCTCCTTGACACCTTTATGCAGTCAAGGTCTCCCCTTTACCCACCTGACATCTGGGTCACAAGCAGTGTCTCTGGGGTGTCTCGGTGGTATTTCTCTTATACTGGGGGGTCCAGTTTGTTTGCGTTTGAATGCCTGATGTATATTTCCTCTGCTACAGCCCTGCACCAGGGCTGCATTTTGACATCCTTGCCACTGAAAGTTTAAAGCGACAAAAGAAATAAAGACTACATATGTATATATTATTGACCTTTAAATCCTTTCTCATCTTGTTCTCTATTTGAGCAAGTCGAAAGGTTAAAGTGTCCTAAAATACAGGTCATCTGAGAACAGTCATCTGTAGCTTGTGAAGTGAACTGGAAATTTACATACACAAAGGAAATTGCCCACTTAATTCACCTGATCCCACAGTGGATAGAAAATAATTAGGATCCAGGCTACAGAACCTACACAGAGTTGCCTTTCAGGTACCTGTGTTTAGTTTTCACTTGTTAAATGTAAATAATCAACCACAAATTACCATATCCTTTAACAAAATAGTATTGGAAGAAGAAAGAAATTCTTATTTCTTCTAGTGACTTTTGACTTTGCAGTGTGCCAGAAGAATCCTTAATATTCCAATACAAAACCAACTAATTGCACACTGCTGACAAGAAAATACTGATTCCTTGAGGGGATCTAAGTTTTAATCCGCTTGTATTAATCTTGCCTTGAAACAGCAGAAGTAATTTAAACAGTCTTTCTGTGTAGTTACGGAATAATCCATTTAGAAAATTGAATTGTGTAATTTGTAATTGTTTTCCAGGCTTGCTAATGCAAAACTGTATTGGTAGCAAATTATATGTTTAAAGTATGACCACTCTGCTAATAACTATCTGTTAAACATTTATTTTAATGAATGCTCTCACTTAGTATGAATGAAACATTTATTTTGAAGCTTTAAAAGAATTCAAGTAACTTGTCAGGATATTTTGGTATCTTCACTATACTGTCATACAGCAAGGCTCCTTGCAAGTCTGTGGGGCAGATGCGTGCCCTTCCATTA